CCTTCTTTGTAACCCCCCACCCCCCTGTCTCCCTGTCTTACTCTTTCCCCTCTCTGTCCCTCTCTTTTCCTCCCTGTTCTTCTTTTCCCCTTTTCTGATTCTCTCCATCCCCTCCTTATCTCATTCTTCCCCCTCTCTGTCCCTCTCATCCCCTCCCTTCATTCCTCTCTTCTCTTCCCTCTTCCCTCTCCTCCCCTCCCTTCTCCTCCTCGTCCCTCTCCTCCCTTCTCCTTCTCCTTCTCGCCCCTCCCCTCTCCTCCCTATTCATCTCTCTCTCCCTCTCCTCTCCTCCCTACCCCCCTCCTTCCCTCCGTTCTCCCCCTCCTTCCCTCCCTTCCCCCCCTCCTCCTGGCCCGCCAAGACACAAGGCGTGTGTATTCTGTAGTGTTCTTTCTCCCAACACGCATGTGAATTGCTACAATGTTTTTTCTCTCTCTTTCTTTCTTCTGAATAACCATCCTCCCCGTCCCTCTCTCTTACTCTCTTTCCTCTTTTTCTTTAATTCTCTCTCTCTCTTTCACTCTCTCTCTCTCTCTGTCAGTCTGTGTGTCTCGTTTCTCTCTTTCTCTTTCTCAAAGCCGTTTTCCTTATGCCCTTTCTAATTTTCTTCTTTCCTTCATCTCATCTTCTCCTATCATTCTCTAATCTCTTTCTTCCGTTCTCCCCTGCTTCCTTTTTTTCTTCTCTTTCTTTACCCTTTTCCCTGTCCTCTACTTTCCCCTCCGTCCTCTCCTTTTCCTTTATTGTCTTAATTTATTCCCTCCTCCCTCCCTACTCTTTTCCTTCTTTTTACAACTTCTCCTCCTCCTATCTCACTCTTTTTATTTCCTCTCTCTTCTTTCTCCCTATTCTACCGTCTACTTTCCCCCTCTCTCTCTTACTATCTTCTTAACTCCTTTCCTGCCCCTTTTTTTTCTCCTTCTCTTCTCCACCTATTCCTTTTCCCTCCCCCCCCCCTCTCCCCCCTCGTCTGCTGCGTCATGCCTGGGGGATACTCCTTTGTCCTCTCCTCCTCCCCTCTCCCCATCGCCTCTCCTCCTTTCTCCCTTCTTTCTCTTCTCCTCCCGTCCTTTATCCCATCGCCATCCTCTCCCTCTCCGTTCTTCCACTCTTTCTTGCTTGCCTTCCCTCTCATTCTCCCCTCTTCCTCTCTCCCCGATGCGTCTCTTTCTTCGCCCTCTCCTCTTCCCGTCTCCCTCTTCCCTATTCTTTCCCCTTCACCCTGTCCTCTCTTTTATCTCTCTCTCCCATCCCCACCTCTTCTCTTCCTCATAATTTCCTCCTTTCCTCATGCCCCCTCCATCCCTCTCTCTTCCCATTCCCTCTTCTTCTTCTTCCTCTCTTCCCTTTCCATCTCATCTCTTCCCTTCTCTATTTCCTCTCCTCCCCATTTTGTCCTATTTTTTCTCTCTCCATCTCCCCATCTCCTTGTCCCCTCTCCCTATCTTCCATCCTCTCCATCTCCCCTCTCCCCTCCCCCCCCATCTCTCCATGTCCTTTCCCCCGTCTCCTCTCTCCGTCTCCAACTCCCTTCCTCTCCCCCTTCTCACCCATCTTTTCCCCTCCCCTTCCTCTCCCATTTCCCCTCCCTCACCTTCCTCCCCCATTCCCCCCCTCTCTCCTCTCCTTCCTCCCCATTCTCCCCCCCTCCCCTTTCCCCTCCCCCCCTCTCCCCTCCTCGTCGCGTCGTACCTGAGGGATGTCTCCTTTGTCCTCGGTTTGCAAGGGCACAATGGCCGTCCCGAAGTCGAATATCAAGGCGGTACAAAGGCGTTGACACAGGGGTGGGGGGTGAGACTGACCTGTTGGGGGGGGGGAGGGGGGGAAGACTGACCTGTTGGGGGGGAAGGGGAGGAGGAGGGGGGGAAGACTGACCTGTTGGGGGGAAAGGGAGGAGGAGGGGGGAGGAAGACTGACCTGTTGGGGTGGGGAAAGGGAGGAGGGGGGAAGGGGAGGAGACTGACCTGTTGGGGGGGGAAGGGGAGGGGAGTGGGGGAGTGGAAGAGTTGTTAGTATGGGGGGGGGATGTAGGGGAGGGACGGAAGGGTGTAGGGGGGGTGGGGAGTGTGAAGTTCGGGGAAATGGTCAGGAGTCGAGAGGGAGAGATAAAAAGGGGAATGGGGGAGGGAAGGGGGGGGGGTCGAAGAGGGGTTAGAGGATGAGGGAGAGAGAGAGAAAGTAAGATGAGAGGAGGGGGGAGGGGGAGAGGAAAGATAGAAGGGGGGAAATTACACCCTTAAATCCCCCCTTTCTTGAATTCAAAACAGCAGAGGTCATCTCCAAACGTAACCAGAGAGAACTGATTCTGCCGATGCGTCTTGCAGCGTAATGAGGCGAGAGGACGAGCATGTGGCAGTGTTGCAAGACAGAAGGGGGGGGTGGGTGAGTAGGGGTGAGTAGGGGGTGAGTGGAGGGTGAGTAGGGTGGGGGGTGAGGGGGTAAGTGGAGGGTAGGTGGAGGGTAGGGTGAGGGGTGAGTGGGGGGTGAATGGAAGGTAGGG